CACCCTCTTGGGTGCATGCATTGTTTTTAATTTCATTTGAATAGCTGGATTACTTAATGAAAAACTTCAACAGTGTGTATTCGGTAACATTCTACTGTGAGTTTGAACAAAGGTTGCCCTTATGTTCTTTAATGCCACTTGCATTTAATTGATGCCTTTGAGGCATAACATTCAACAGATGCTTTAAACATTTTTCCCCTTTTTCTTTGAAAGAAATGGCCTATGGAGAATGAATATAGTGGCAGTACAAACTATGTGGAAGAGATGGGTAAGGTTGGTCCCTCACAATTAGAAATAAGATTTATTTTCATTTCTATCTGAGAGACTGGGTTGTGGAGCTGAATATTTGCATGGCATTTCTGTAAATTATCAGGATTATTTTGATTTTATTTCCATGTTCTAAAATATTAATATTATACTCTATGGGTTGTCATCAAATAGTTTGGCAGGCACTGTTTAACCTCTTTGTCCATGTGACTTGACATAGAGTGTATTATTAATATTTTATAACATGGAAATAAAATCAAAATGATCCTGACAACTTATGGAAATGAAGTGAAAATATTCAGGTAGAAGACAGAAATCAAATGTACAGATTTAACAGATGATGCATGGATTGGTAATAGTTCTTGGAAATAATTTGTGCAAACCAAATATGAATCAGCAGATGTAATTTTAATCTGTATCTACAGAAGTATAGTTTCCGAATCTTGCAAAATAAAAGTCTCATTTGTCTTTAGTCAGACTGGTCTCTGGTATTTGTCTCATCTAGTCCTCCTCTCTTTTCAAAGATTCAGACAAAAGGGACACGAAACGGTGGGAGGGATATCCAGGAGATTAGATATTAGATAGGACTTGAACCTAATAATAAACATTAAATGTTTAATGTGAAACACCTAACATTAAAACCATCATTAAAAGGGAACAACAAACAGTGTTCTTCCTCAGGAAGTTCAGACTGCCCTTGGAGCTGCTGATACAGTTCTACAGAGGAATTATTGAGTCAGTCATCTGTTCCTCTATAACTGTCTGCTTGGTACAGCAATCAAAAGGGGCAGATACAGACTCCAACAGAGAGTTAGGACTGCAAAAAAATAATTGCAACCAGTCTGCCTTACTTTGAGGGCCTGTATATTGCATGGGTAAGAAGGAGGGCTGAGAAAATATCTACAGACCCCTCATATCTCAGACATAATTGCTCCCCTCAGGATGCTTCTATAGGGCATTGCGTGCCAAAACAACTAGACATAGGGACAGTGTTTTCCTCCTGCCATCATATTGCTGGGCACCTAATTCTTACAGTACTGTTTTATGTCTAAGTATATTTACCCATGTTGTACAGCTGTATTATTATTATTATTATTATTATTATTATTATTATTATTATTATTATTATTATTATTATTATTATTATTATTA